GAACATGACACAACAGTTGGAAAAACATGCAGACCATCCACATGTAAGAACAGAGACAGATCTCTAAGATACATTGTTTGTTAAAGCAAATTAAAGAGTAGGACATTCAATGCAAACATTTCTGTTGAAAACATATATGTCCTTACTTTTGCAAAAAAAAAAAATGTTAAACTAGACAACAATAACATAAAGTGACCTGCAGGACTGGGGCAGACAAGTGGAAGGGGCGAGAGGAGAGGGAGAGCACTCACCTGAACTCACCTTTTTCTGTGGCGTTACGTTTTGGAAGCATGTTAATGTTTTACAACAGTATTCAAAAATGGTGAGGAAAAAAAAACCAAAACTAAATTCAAGTAAAAACAAATGAACCGAAACTCAACATAACATAACCACTGCAAAAACAGGGAAAAGGGAATCCCTGTAACATTTGAGCATGGTAATTTAACTAGAAAGCTGCAGTCTAGGAAAAAAGAACAAGAAGTGCAAACAAGTTGTGTTTGAAGGTGATATGAGGGTAGCAATTCTGAAACCTTTTTATGTGTGTGTAGAATTGAGAAAATGAGCGTTGATTTGGGGACCTCCAGTTACCATGAAAGAAAGAAGACAGGACTATGGAATGGGCAAAGTGAGGCACAGCCTGCCTCTTGGGCTGGAATGGGAGGTGTCAGTGTGGACTCAAGCACTTTTTTTTTTTTTTTTTTTTTTAGTATCACAGGTCAACTAATGAGAAGATTGGAAATTTTTTTGGGGGGTTGTTCTAAACATTTTGCTTAATTGGGGCTTCCAAGTTGGTATCCTCCATTATTATTATTATTATTTTAAATTTTTAGTTGTAGATAGGCACCATGCCTTGATATTTATTTATTGATTCTTATGTGGTGCTGAGGATGGAACCCAGGGCCTCACACATGCCAGGCAAGGGCTCTACCACTGAGCCACAAACCCAGCCCACTGGTACTCTCCATTATTACCATTAATTGCAAATGTTCATCTGTTAATGCTGATATGTAGTGAGATTTTACATATTTCATCTTTGAAAATGTCTTCACATAGTTAGGTGCTGTCAAAGGCTAATGCCAATTTGCAAACATATGATTTTTTAATTGTTTATTTTGTCTGTAGTTTGCACCTTAAATGTCCCCTAAAGACCTGGCTGCCAAGTGTTAAAGACATGGCTGCTAGCTGGTGGCTCTGTTGGGAGGAAGTGGAACATTTAAGATGTAGGTCCTAGTAGAAGCTTGTTAGGTCACTGGGGTGTGCCCTTGAAGGGGATTTTGAGGCCTGGCTCCTTCTTGTCTCTTTCTCTTTCATTTCCCAGCTGTGATGAAGTGAGCATTCCCCTCTGCCAAGTGCTCCTGCCATGATGTGCTGTTCTGCCACAGGCCCAAAGCAACAGGTCCAAGTGACCAGACATCAAAACCTCAGAAATCATGAGCCAAAATAATTTTTTTTATTTGTTCCAATTAGTTATACATGACAGTACAATGCATGTCGACACATCATACACAAATGGAGTATAACTTCTTTTTCTTCTGGTTTTTCTTTTTATAAGTTGTTTACCTCACTTCTTTTGTCACTGTGATGGAAAGCTGACTAATGCAATATTTATTACTTGAAAGATACTTAAAAAATTCTATGAGCTTCTTTTCTGTTTTTTTCTAGCATGGCATGTCATTAGATTTGAGGTCACTTCCACTTGAAGTGCTTCAACTTCACAGTTTAGTTGGTTTTGAAATATGGAAATCTTTATTGTCCTTGCATTGAGGTTTAAAAAACACTGACACTCTAGTCTGAGCTTAGATAATAAGTCTAATGCAAACATATATGCAAATGGGATCTCATTTCTAATGTTAACTTCGCAGCATGGGAAAGCACATAAGACGGATAAACATTCTTATGATTCAAATGTTGGTTATCAAATTTACTGTGGTATGTTTCATATATAAGTGATGTTCTGTCTTGTGATTTTATGTTACATTTCTTAAGAAACATAATCAAGTCTAATCTAATCTAATCTAATCTCCAACCATTTGGTGTTCTAGGAGGCAGATGAGTACAGTTATTTTTGTTTCAATTTTTTTTGACTGCTGTAATCAAATATGGTTTAATTAACTCATCCTAAGAAAATGGCTTTCCTTGCTTGCCTAACAAATGAGCCCTTCAGAAAATCATTTTCAGTTTCTGTTTTGGGGAAGAATTTCTGTTGTGATGAGCTATTCCACTTTAACATTTCTAATTTTTCTGACTTTCCCCCCTGTGAATTGGGAACTGTGTGTTGAGTGCTTATTGTGAACATGATAACACACAATGTGTTCTTTAGCATCACATCTTGAGTCTGTTTTGTGTTGCAATAATGGAATTTCAGAGACTGAGTGATTTAAAAAGAAAATGCATTTTTTTCCCTTATAGTTCTGGAGATCGGAAAGTCCAAGGTCAAGGAACTGGCATCTGGTGAGAGTCATTGTGCTATGTCACCCTATGGCAGAGACGGAAAGGCAAGGTGGCCCAGGAGAGCAAGAAGGGGCCCATCTTGCTTTATCAGAAACCCACTTCTGAGATAACTAACCCACTCCTGTGATAGTAGCATTAGTGTATTCATGACCTTTGGGAAACCTAATCACCTCTTAGGGTCATCTCTCAACACAGTTGTATTGGAAATTTAGTTTCTAACACATGAACTTTGGGGAACCCATTTTAACCATAGAACATAATAGATACAACGCTTTGCCAGTAATCTGGTGACAAAATAATCCATGCTCCCTAGTGTCATTCCAAGTTCATGTGGCATTCCAAGTCCACGTCTCTCTTTTCTCTTGTTGTCACTGGATTTACAAACACTGCTTATAAATATAAAATGAAGTCTTACTGGAACGATGACATGTTGACTGGGAACACTGTTGCAGCGAACCTGCTCCCTGTGGCTGGTAATGCACCAAGCAGCAGCTGGAAGCCACCAGAGTGGCACATACAGACTGTCTCAACTCCTAGCAGCCGTTGGCCATAAATGAACACGGCTGTAAGCCAATAAAACTATTTATGGGTACTGAAAAGTGAATTTCATATGATTTTTATGTGCCATGAAATATTATTATTTTCTGATTGTTTTCCTGTTTGAACATGTAAAAGTCATTTTTTGATCATGGGCTGCAAATGGGCGAGAGGCTGAATGTGGCCCCAGGGCAGTAGTTTGGTGACCCCTTTTCTAGTATCTAGACATTGGTTGTCTGTCTCCTCCCTTCCACTCCTTGAGGTGGGCTCTGCTCCCTGATGTGCCAGGTCCAGGTCCTCAGCATATTCTTTTTTTTTTATATATATATATTTTTTTATTGGTTGTTCAAAACATTACAAAGCTCATGATATATCATCTTTCATACATTTGACTCAATTGGGTTATAAACTCCCATTTTTACCCCAAATACAAATTGCAGAATCACATCGGTTACACACTCACATTTTTACATAATGGCATATTAGTGACTGTTGTATTCTGTTACCTTTCCTTTCCCCTACTATCCCCCGCAAACCTCTTGTCACTCCAGGAGGGACATTGTGCTTTCAGGTCTGGGGAGAGTGGAGTCACAGCCTGAGGTGATGCCTGTTCCCCACCCCCACCCCCACCCCCCAGGAATTGGCTTTCACCTATAAAGGGCATTCAGAATCATTTATTTGATCATTGTTTTCAGAAATAACCACAGGCCTGTCCTGAGTTGGTGAAAGAGGAGGCCGGGGCAGTGGGACACCCGGGGCTTCACCCAGTCCTGCTGTGTGTGGCTGAACAGCCGTCCCTTCACTTCTCTGGGCTCACTGCATTGTGGGTAAAATGAGGGGCTTAGATTTGTTCTGTCTCTCGCTCCACTACAGACTGAGTTTGACCCCAATTATTAGAGACTGGGGAAGATGATTCTTTTAAAATATGTCCTGTGGACAACTGCTATGGACAGAATATTTATTTCCTCCCAAATTAATATGTTGAAACCTAATCCCTAATGTAACGATATTAGAAGATCTGGTTGATGGGAGGTGATTAGGTCATGAGAGCGGAGCCCTCAGGGTCAGGATTAATGTCCTCATAAAAGAGGCCCCAGAGAGCTCCCTCCTTCCTTCTACCATGTGAGTTTATAGTGAAAAGACAGCCAACTATGAACCAGGTGTTGGCTCTCACCAAACACCTGGGTGATGCCTGCCTCTCTATCTTGCGTTCCCAGCCTCCAGAACTGTGAGAGATACAGTTCTACTGCACGAAGACACCAGCCTCTTCTTTTGTTCTTATTTAGACAGTATCAAAATCAGTTTCCCCTTCAACTTTGTTCTCTTGGAAATTTCTATTTATACCAGATAGGTCAAAGAAGGGTTCAATGAGCATCCGTCTCTCCTCCCTCTGGATTTACAACTGTTAGCATTTTTTTTTTTTTTTTTTGGCAGCAGCAACTCCTTCCTTTATTTCTTCCCTGTGTAAAAGAAAATTAAAGTTTTGCAGCTTTCCTTTCCTGCCCTCAGGTCCCCAATCAGTCAAGTGACCACAGGCACCAAATCTTAGGCTGGATAACAGCACAGGCCTCAGACACCTGCCTCCAATTCTGAGGTCCAAATGGATATTTGTGTAAGTCTGCATTAAATCCATCAAAAAAGAAAAGCGCCACTCAAAACCTGTGGGGGCAGCTAGGCCTGAAGCTTTAGGGTAGATCAGAGGCAGTCTTCTGAGGAATGAGTCTCAAGACAAGAGGCCACCTAAGCTTGGTTGGATGGAACCCCACAATAATGATGGTCACCTCTTTTTGTGTAGAGGGCTGCTGAGGGTAAGTCAGCTCAGTTGTCTGAAGAAAAGTGGCACACACAAATCTTTCAAAGGAAGCAATCAAAGTAGTATCCTGGTCACAGCTCCACCTTCATGTGCCCAAGTGGTTGCTGGGTCAGCTGCAGAGCAGAGGCAGGCTTCCAAGGAGAGGGAGACAATGGGGTACTTCTAGGTCACATAAGCCTGTCTCTCAGGAGATTTCCAGGAGGGAAAGCTCATTCTCGGGGTCGATTGACCATGACTTCGCCCAGGGCTTCCAACACCTCCCGCTTGTAGTCTTGGAAGTCCCCATCAATTTGGCTAACACTTTGCTCCTCCACTACCCACAGTTGGCAGTTGGTTTCTGTGATGAGTCGGGCATCATGGCTGACGACAATCACAGCACCCTTGTACTCATTGATGGCCTCCCCCAGAGCATTGATAGATTCTATGTCCAAGTTATTGGCTGGCTTGTCCAAGATGAGGACGTCGGGCTCCCGACAGGCCAGCTCTGCAAAGACAACTCGGGCTTTCTGCCCACCAGAGAGTTTGCAGATCTGGATGGTGTGAGCATGACTCTCAAGGCCAAAGCAGCCCAGGCACTTGCGTGCATCCTGGTAGGCCAGGTTGAAGCTCCTCTGCAGATATTCAGTGGGCGTCTCCTCCATGTGCAGCTGCTCTGCATATTGCTGGTTGAAGAAGCCAATTTTCAATCGGTGGTTCTTTCTCATTTCCCCATGTGTCGGTGTCAGCTTGCCTGTCAGCAGCAGGAGCAGTGTGCTTTCCCCCACATCATTAGGGCTCACGATGCATATCCTTGAGTCCATGTCGATGCCAAAATCCAGGTTCTTAAAGAGTGGTTTCTGCCCCTCATAGCCAAATGTCACACCATGCAGACCCAGCACAGGAGGGCTGAGTGGCGGGGGATTTGGGAAAGTAAAGCGCACAGTGTACCCCTTCGGGCGCACTTCAGGAGCTCAGGGGCTTCCTGGGATTCCTCATCTTGGTTTTTCCGACGGCATTTCTGCTGTTTTCGAGTCAGGGCCTCCTTTGTTTGCTTTTCCGCCTGCTTGGTGGACTTGCTCCTTCAGCTTTTTTTCCTGCTTCTCATACTGTTTCAGCAGTTCTTTCTGCTTTTGCTGGTACATCTTCTTGAAGGTCATGTAATTGCCTCTATAGTAGTGGAGCCGCTGGGCATCGAGATGGATGATATCAGTGCACGCATCATCCAGGAAGCCCTGGTCATGGGAGACAATCAGCAGCGTCTTCCGCCAGCCCTGAAGATAGTTATTGAGCCAGATAACAGCATTGAGGTCCAGGTGATTAGTGGGTTCATCCAACATCAGCAGTGTAGGCTCCATGAACAGTGCCCTGGCCAGAGAGACACGCATGCGCCAGCCCCCTGAGAACTTCTGTGTGGGCCGATTCTGCATCTCAGGGTCAAAGCCCAGATCAGCCAGGATCCGTCGTGCTTTGGCCTCTGCAGCTGCTGCCCCAGTGGCTCACGATTCCTCATATACCTTCTCTAGCCTCTCAGCAGCTGTGTCATCCCCCTGTTCCAACTGCCTCTGAAGTCATCGTTCCTCTTCCAGCAGCTTCAACCGCTTGGTGTCAGCTCGAAGAACAGCCTGCTCTGCTGGTGTTTCATCTGCTACTACCTCCTGCTCACACAGCAGCACATCAATGTTAGGAGGGATGCCCAGGGCACGGTTGGCGATGTGCTTGAGGAGTGTGGTCTTGCCCTTGCAGTTAGGTCCCACCAGCCCATAGCGGCGTCCAGCTACGATGTATAGATCTGCATTCACAAACAACTCCTTGCCGTGGGCCGAGATACTGAACTTCTCCAGCTTGACATCAGATGCATTTTCTAACATGGCCTGTCGGGAGGACACCTCTGCCTGGGATACAGAGAAGTCATTTTCGGCAGCATTAGCTGCTTTTAATGAAGCCACCTGGCGCTCATAATCCTCCGTTTCTTGAGCTTTTTCTTCTCCGTTTTGCTAAGGTGAGCATAGGGATCATCTGCCTTTGACTCTCCCTCTTCCTCCTCGCCTTCCTCTGAACCCTGCTCTGACTTTTTGGCCTTCTCTTTTCCTTGTTTGGGAGGCTCCTTTTCTTTCGTCATTTCATCTTCTTCATCTTCCTCTTCACTATCCAGAGCAGCAAATTTATTTTGACGCTTGGCCTTCCCTTTCGACTTTTCTTCCTTTTCTTTTTTTGCCCTTGAGCCCAGGCTGTTGCTCCTCAGATACAGCCTTATTGATCTGATTCTTCTCTGGCTTAGCAGCCTTGGGAGGATGCTTTTCTTCTTCCTCCTCTTCTTCACTGTGATCCTGAATCAGGGCTGCAAAAACATTACCACCCTTGGTCTTCTTTCCTGCTCGGGGTATTGGGGCAGGTATCTCATCCTCTTCATCACTGGCAGGTACAGAAAGCTTCTTAAGGCGCTCCATAAGCTCTTTTTCCTCTCCATCATCATCCACATCCTTCTTCCGCCGGCCTTTTCCAGCATCTCGCTTCTTCTTTTGCTGCTGTTGCTGCTGCTTTTGCTGCTGTTGTTCCTTCTCCTTGAGCACTTTCTCTTCTTCCCCAGCCTGTTTATCTTCTACTGCCAGCTCCTCAAAGAATGTCTTTTTGGTCTTCTTGTCCTTCTTCCCTTTTTTCACCACCTTGTCTGCGGGATTTGTGCCGTCTCCGTCCCCGATCCACTCGGCCTCCGGTGGTTGCTGCTTGGGACCCTTCGGCATTGCCGTGGCAGTTACTGCTACCCTGGCGGAGCCCTGTGCTATTTCCCAACTGTTAGCATTTTGACATATTTTCCCCTCTTTCTTTTTATGTGGGGTGTGTGTGTGTGTGTGTGTGTGCACGCGCGCGCGTGTGATGCAATGATTTGAATGACATTTGTTATGGACCACATGTTTGTGGCTGCCCTCAATTCATATGCTGAAATCCTAACCCCCAAAGTGATACATAGAGATGGGAATATGGTGGGGGATGATTAGGTCAGGAGGTCTCCCCGCCATGATGGGATTAGTGCTCCTATGAGCAGAGACACAGGAGAAGGTCTGCTTGCTCTCCCTCAGCCATGGGAGGGGACGGGGAGAAGACAGCTGTCTGCAGGTGGAAGTGGCCCTCTGCCAGCACAGGACTCTCTGGTACCTCCACCTTGGACTTACCAGCCTCCAGAACCGTGATAAGTAAGTGTTGTTTGAACCACTCGTCTATGGAGTTCTCATTGTAGTTGTCTGAACTGACTAGGACCGTATTTCATAGGACAAGGACATTCTTCTTATCATCAAAATTTCACTGTCATGCTTGAAAATGAAAATTCCGTGACATCTTACTCCCTGCTCACGTTCATATTCCCCCAGTAGTCCTAGGATGTCTTTAGGTTTTTATGTTAGAACTAGGTCAGGGAACCTACATGATAAGCAGAAGCCCTTCTTGTGTGTTTTCCAATCCTGCCTCCTTTCTCCCCCAAAGTAACCACTATCTTGCCTGTTTTTGAATTTGATGTCAATGGGATCATACAGTATAGATTCTCCTGTCTGCCTCCTTCCTGGCCATGTCGTGTTGGTGACATGTTCCTTTGTTGATGACATAGAGCAGAGGTCAAACTTCATTTTTTTTTCTCATACTGACGGTCAGTTGACACAGGACCTTCTCATCTCTCTGTGGTTCTGGGGCTGGAACCCAGAGCCTGGTGTAGGTGAGACAAGTACTCTACCTATGAGCTGCACCCCAGCCTAAAGTGCATTTTAATGAAACCACTTCCTTTGCCTACTCAAGCGCTGAAGACCTGTATTCTATTCTGATCTTTAAAGTCTTGACCATCTGGAGAGCTGGTAACCTTGTGAAGCTGGGAATGTAAATGGTGCCATGTGGAAAGGTCTGGAAGCTACAAACACCTTAGAATCTAGTCATTTTATTTTTGAGGAGACAGTCTAGAGCTCTTCTCCATGTGTGAAACTTTCAGGGGGGTCCTAGAGGACAAACTAGTTTCATAAGGATGCCAAGAAGTTATTTCTCTTTCTGATTCCCTCATAAGTGGAATTCTCTAGGGGCTATCTGACAATGGATACTCCCACAGTTTGGTTGCAGAAAGAGAAAGAGAATCCAGTCTCTTTTAGTGAGTCAGCCATTAAAAGAACATGCAAAAAAAAAAAAAAAGAAAGAAAGACTTATTGTTAATTTTTTTTTCTTTTGAAAAAATGAAGATCTTTTTTAGAGAAATATTTATGTTAACATGCAATAGGTTTATTATTTTTTTAAAAAAATCTTTAAGATAAATATCTAAATTTTCTGTGTCTAAATTTCTAATATAATAAACAGAAATATCAATGCCTGATACCAAGGAGAAGTTTTTTTTTGGTACTGGGGATTGAACTCAGGGGCAGTCGACCACTGAGCCACATCCCCAGCCCTATTTTGTACTTTAGAGACAGGGTCTCACTGAGTTGCTTAGCACTCCACTGTTGATGAGGCTGGCTTTGAACTTGCAATCCTCCTGTCTCTGCCTCCTGAGCCGCTGGGATTACAGGCGTGCGCCATTGCACTTGGCTTCATAAAATAAATACTCTTTAAAAATATATCTGGCTTTCTTCATGTAGCATTTTGAGATTTCATGCATGTTGTTGTGCGAATCAGTACTTTATTCCTTTTACTGGTGCACAGTATTCCATTATATAGATATGCTCCTGCTTGATAATGTTTGTTGATGGATGGTGGAACTGTTTAAATGCAGCAATCATGAACATTCATGAACAAGTCTATGGATGGCTACATGTTTTCATTTCTCTTGGGCAAATATTCTTGAGTGTAATAGTTTAACTTTTTAAGACCCTTTAAAGTTTTTCCAAAGTGGTTGTACCATTGGATATTCCCACCAGTGGTAAATGAGAGTTCCAATTCCTCCATGTTTTTCTTGAAATATTTGGTACCATTTTGAATGTCACCATTGGTTTCATTCTCTCTTTTCTTTCTTTCTTTCTCTTTCTTTCTTTCTTTCTTTCCTTCCTTCCTTCCTTCCTTCCTTCCTTCCTTCCTTCTTTCTTTCAATGTCAGCTAGCATTCACCTTTGCAATGGAAGGTCCTTTGTGCAGAGAAGGACGCTTCTCCCAGTTACACCTGTTCCCTGTGCTCACTCCAGTTCATCTTTATCTTTTTTCTTTATAGTGCTAGGGATGGAACCCAGGGCTTCACACATGCTAGGCAAGTGTTTTACCACTGAGCCACACCCTCAGCCCAACTCCAGCTCATCTTGAGATGATCAGACTTGGACCCCATCACAATCTTAGAAAAGTATATGTAGCCAAAACGTCTCAGTGAATGATGCAGAGTACCAGAGAAGGGTTTACTAATCCTTTCTCTCCCTAATTTCTCTGCAACTGACAGCCATTTCTTATGTCTTCCCCACCTCCCCCACTGCAGCCCCTGCCAATGCCTCCCCATTCCCTGTTACATTCCCAAACAATTCAGCCTTGGCTCTAAGTTCCATACTATAATGGGGACAAAACCAAACACCTTAGTTGAGTTTCTTCTCCCTAGAACAGTGGTTCTTAGCGAGGTCCCAGGGCCAGCAGTATCCATATCCCTTGGAAATTTGTCATCAATGCACATTCTCAGACCTAATGGATCAGACACTTGGGGCTGAGGCCCAGAATCCATGCTTCAACACAGAGGTTGTGATGTGTGCTCGTGTCTGAGACCACTGCCATAGAATTACTCTGGAGTCATTTATTGTTTTTTAAGCCTGGTCCTTGAGGGTCTCATCCCATGTCCTAATAGGCTTTTGAAATACTTCACCTAACACAAATGGGGAGTCTTCAGGGTGACATGGAAAGAATTCTGATGCTTGGAAAATAAGATTTTCTTCACCTTATTTCATTGATACAAATTACCTATCTATTCACTGTTTTGAGACAAAATCAAGGATGCTTTTTGGTTGGCCAAAGATTTGGCCTTTCCATTTGTTAGAGGTCCCTGTGCCTCCTTATTCGTACCCACCCATTTAGCTGTGAAGGAGGGATGTGGACCTGCTGCTTTCCACGGAGGTTCAATGGAACGAACATATGGCCAGTGCTGGGGAGCTGTGTTGGCTGCTGCTCTGGATCGCAGCAGGAGCAGGTGACCAGGTGACATCTTTAGCAAGTGTCAGTGCTGTGCCTCTGGTGCAAGCAGGATGTTGGACCTTCTGGATGATGCCCTGTCCCAGGCCCTTTGTCTACAAGACCTGGCCACTGCCCACGTCCTCAAGGACAGGGATGGGGTTAGCAAGAGACCAGGGAGTGTGGAATCTGTCTCTGAACACAGGTCAGGGAGAGGATGATGAGACCAAGACTGAGCCAGACTTGCAGGACTCAGGGTCCTGGGGGAGGGAACTCTGTGTGGGGAGCTAGCTTTCTGCTGGTGTGGCAGGTGGGGCCTGTCCTGTGTGGTATCATTCAGTTGTAGAAAGGAAGTGGGACATTCTGTAGTCAGGGGCTGGTGAGGCCTGAGGTGTGTGGTATAATTAAAAGGTCAAAGCGTTTATTTTGTTAGACCTTTCTTTCTTTCTTTTTTTTTTTAAATGTTTTTTTAAGTTGTTGATGGACCTTTATTTAATTTATTTATATGTGGTGCTGAGAATCAAACCCAGTGCCTCACACATGTTAGATAAGCGCTCTACCACCGAGCTCTAACCCCAGCCCCTTGATAGACCTTTCTAAACAGAAGTTTGCACTTATATTCCCTAAGATTCCCTCACCTTTATGATAAAGTCAGAGGAAATATTAGGAACCTTGAAGGCGCATGGGTTTGGGAGACCTGGGGGCGTTGGGGTGCTGAGTAGCCAAGGGATCTTGGAGAACTCCTACAGAACAGGTCACTGTGCCTTGCTTTCCATAGCCAGACCTTCTGATCATCTGCAAGAAAATGTGCCTGAAAAATTATATTAATGGGTTGTTTCTTATTGTGGAATGTGCCCCCAATTGTTTTTTAAAAGCTCATATTTATTTCATGTATTTTGTTGGATAATTCCGGGTAGTTCGGCCTGCTTGGATAAAACATATAGGGTCTGGGGCAAACGATACTGGGTTTGTGTCTCACTCCTGCCGCTTTCTAATTTCTGAGCCTCAGTTTCCTTCTCAGAGAAATGAGATGAATCCCATCTACACCGGATGGGACTGAGGGAGCAGGGAGATAGAGCACATGTTCATAAAGAGCCAGGGACAGTGCCCGGGACAAATCCAAGGCTTAGTAAATGTTCCTTCACCCGCCCCTTTTTCTTCCATATTCTATTTCATATACAAATGAGTAAAAAAAAAAATTGGACAAAATAATGCAAAGAGACAAAAGTCAACATTTATTTGTCCCGCAGTTGGTGCTAGCTGGTTTACATTTCAGTGCTGTGGACTTCATCTTGCCTTGATGTACCTGGGTCTGACCCCTCGCTGGGTTGAGGCGAGGTGTCGTTACACCAGAGGAGCCGCCTGCAGAGGTATCTCCTAAGTGTCCTGTTCCGAAACACACAGAGAAGAGGGGTGAGGCAGCAGAGGGTGATGGCCACGATCTCTGTGACCTGAACGCTCTTGTCCAGTCGGTAGATGCCCTTGCAGTCATGGAGGGAGAAGTGTTCTTTGAAAGCAGACAGGAAAAGCACGATGTTGTAGGGTGCCCACATCAAAAGGAAGAGGGCGGTCAGGGCAAATGGGAGCTTAGAAAGGTCAGGCGGACTCTCCCTGAACCTCTGTCGGTTTCTCATTCGCACGTAGCAAAATACAAAAACGAGCAGCGGGAAAACCAGTACCAAAATGTTCATCTTCAGAGTCAGAAAATGCTTCCAGAAGGTCTCATCAGCTGGCAGAAAGTGGGATCTGCTCAAGGAGCACCACTGGTCTTCCTGGAATCCCATCTGAGGTTGATAAAGCACGTATTCAGGCAAAGTGACCAGAAAGGCCACTACCCACATCAGAACACTTGTGGTCACAGTGCCTGGCATCGTCCTGAAGGCTGGGGACAACCATCTCACGTGGAAAAACACCACGTACCTTTGCATGATCAGGAGGGTGTTGAAAAGCGCCTCACTGAATACACCCACCGAGCGGAGTCCTGCGAAAACCCAGCACAGCGGCTCATCGGCACTTCTCCTCTCCAGAGCAGTGTGAAACCAGAAGGGCAGGAAAAGCAAGAAACACATCTTGGAAATGGCCAAGTTCAGAAAATAGGTTTTCTCCACGTATTTCAGTCCTTTATATTTGACCAGGACAAAGACAAACAAGGCATTACCCAGGAGACCGGCCACCAACAGGGTGCCGCAGAACGGCAGCACCTGCTGGGCTGAGAGGACCTGGGCCATGTATCTGTCACACGGTGGTGGTTCCACCTCGTTGTCGTCGTTCTTCGGAACATCGCTGATGAAGACGTCGTAGTCGTCGTCGTCGTCCGGGGCTGCTGTGTAATTATCCATTTTCTGGATGTCCTGTGGATAAACAAGAGATTATTTCTCCTCCCTGTGGCTGTATAATATCCCAGAAGAAACCACAACCAGGAATGGCACCCGCAGAGCCACACGGTCCCCTGGCTTTATTCTAACCAGAGTAGGTCTGCAACACAGAAGGCTGAAATTAAACACTTTTTTTTTTTTTTTTAAAACAGGTACCCACCTCCCTGGAGCAGCAGCGACTATATTCATCAGACTCTTGAGTACTTAGTGGTGTGCTAGGTGCCCCAGGGCATTAAAATAGGCATGACATCATCTTGGCTTAATTTCTTCTAGTTGCCACAAGGCTAGCCTACTTGGAAACAATATTTAAGAACACGTACAATGAAAGAGAACCGAATACCGCAGCTTTGAATTGCAAGAAATCCGTGTAGGTCTTAATAATATCTACATGTTCAAAAAGTTTGCTCACCCTTGAAACGGCTTCCTGTGACAGGCGGAGATGTTTTCCTCTCGAGGGAGATAAACAAATGTTTGCAAAAGTGAAACCACGCGGAGCATCCCCGTGGGCAGAACTTATCGGACTTACCGTTTGATTGAGTTCCTGCGGGGAGGGGCGCAGTCTCTTGATCCACCATCCAGGGAGCCGTGGGAATTCCTGGGGCAGTGGGAAGACGGCTTCCTTCTGAGCGAGCTGGTTGAGACCCTCAGGGACAAGAGGAGCCACTCACTGTTATTCCCTGGGTGGCTCTGCCCCTTCAGTCTCGGATCTCAGGGATCAGCTGAGTTCAGCAGCCGTTGAACTCTGGAGCCTCTCATGAGCCTCTGAAAGGAACTGGGAAGTTTTCTCCTCCCCTCTTCTCCTGGACCCCGCCTTTAATTTCCCCGTGGCCTTTTAGACAACTGTCCTTCTGTAGCCGTAGATAAGGGAACTAAGCTACTGCTGCTTTGAGTGATAGTTGGCGGCTGGTGTCACCGTGCTGAGAAGCACCGAAACCCCTCTGGCTTCTGACATTAGCGCTCTGAATAGGCGGCAGCTACCAGAGGAGAAGAGTGTCTGTGGCCATCAGGAGTCCTGAGGGTCCTGACCCTTCCCAGGCAGCGTCCCCGTATCAGTGCCGGGATGGGGAACCTGCCCCGAGAGCCCCCTTCCAGCAGGGTGTGTTTGGATCTTTGTTGCTATTTTTGAGAGGCACAGTGGGCTTTGGCTGAGGGTCTAAGAGGGAAAAATGGAAGCCACCGAGGGAAGTCAGTGGGGGAAGGACAGGTTGGGGACAGAGTGGGGCAGAGATGGCATCAGTGTCTGTGAGTGCAGGGCTGCCTGGGCAATGATGTTGAAGACAGCAAGGAGTGTTGCAGGCACCCCGAAGTCCTCTGTGCTGTGGGGACATCTGGGGCAGCTGACCCTGTTCTGTGAAGAACCCAGAGGAGGGAAAATCCCAAATGAGGACATGGAGGTGACTTCAGGTCAGGTGGGAAAGACCACGAGGAAAATGATGGGACCTCAAACTGAGGCTGGGGTGGAGAAAGGAGACCGAGCCGACACACAGATCTAGAGGTGGGAGGGGACAGGGGATGATGTGGAAGGCGTGTGAGCTCAGAAGAGGAACTTAAAAGAACTGAGAAAAATGTTGATGAACTTCTGTCGGGTCAATGACTCTTGGTACCTGGGATCCACCTAATTTGGAAATCAGTCCTACGTATCCGCCTGGCATGGATGAATCTGGTTCAGTGACATCCTTTTTATCACTAAAGATGCATCTGAGGTAGCAAGGAATACAGAAAGTGAACCTTCAAACTAGAAAGAGTAAGAGAAAGATAAGCATAAAAAAGTCCTGATAGATGTTTGACGGGACATTAAGCTCCAAGCATACCAATGGCCACAGCAGAAAGGGAGACATGGGTTGGGGCAGCAGGACCCCAGGCTGTGAGAGGACTCCCAGTGAGTCCTATCCTCTCTCGGGTGAGTGAGTGGGGTTACCAGACCCTGGGAACCTCTGACCTCCTGCTGGTGATGGCTACGGCTCCTCTCCCTCCTCCTGAGGTCTCACTGACTCTGCCGGAAGACTTCCAGCCACACCAGAACACTAGAAGGCAGGTGGCTAGGTGAGGGTGGCTCAGTGGTCAGCCCCAGGCAGGGGAGGGAGGGCCAAGTCAGAATCGAATCTTGAACAAGCCACCAGGATACACATTGCTCATTAGATGACGGACGGCTGGGGGGAGGGGAGAGGTGGGGGGGAAAGAGCAGGTAGGCACATCATACACTACATGTCACTGAATCACATGAAATTTAAATTTCCCCCAATTTTTTTTTTCACCCTAACTTCTCAATTAGCATGGCCTTCACTTTCAGTATTATTTGGTTTTGGCTTGATTCCCACCATTCTGACTAGTTCACACCCAGGCCATGAGATTCCTGAAGCTTCTTCTAAACTGGTAGGAAGGAGAAGCTTAGAGGTCTGAAGCTGAGGCAAAAGGAAAGTTCCATTTACCATTCGACTGTCTGGACATTGTATTAGTCAGCACTCTCTTGCTGTGACAAAATACCTGAGATAATCTACTTTAAAGAGGGAAAAGTTGGCTCATGGATTCAGAGGCTTCAATCCATGTTCACTTGCCCCTGGTGCCTTTGGGGCTGTGATGAGGTAGCTCATTGTGGTAGGAAAACCAGGCTGAAATGGCTGCAAAGTGAAAAAGAGAGGCAGGAAGGGGCAGGGGTTCCCATATTTCCTTCTAGTAGGTTCCACCTCTTAAAGGTTTCTCTACTTTGCCATAGAAACACAGGCTGGGCACCAAACCTTCCCTATGTGTGTGGCCTTTGTGGGAGTGCTCATCCAAAGCTTAGCAGCCGTCTTTGCTGATGAAACTCTGGCACATTCTGTGGCTTTGGCCTGTGGCTCACAGACCTTACCCTTAAAGGTCTGGGTTCCTCCTTATTACAGCCTTCAACCCCAGATTCAACCTAAGAAGCCATCCTGTCCTACTTTCGCTACCCCCCACAACTTGAAAATCATCCATTCACTCAAAAAACATTTAAGAGGGTCTTACAGGGGTCAGCCTGTTCTCGGTGCCAGGGATACATCAATGAGAAAAACAGCCCCAAATCCTGACCTTCACTGGGCATATGCTCAGCAGACTAAAACCAAAGAAGCAAGTCGATTGTAGGTTGGTAGAAAAGTAGCTCTATGGGAAGAGGAAGTGAGGAAGGAGAATAGGAAGGGTGGTTTGGTCGTCCAAACAGCCTTGCTGAGAAGGTGGGCGCAGGACAGCCAGGTCCCATAGTTATAGTTTATGGTCTCAGCCTTTCTTGCTGCTGAGTTCTTGTATCAGGGAAGCTAAAAACACACCCTGGGTGATAATTTCAGAAATAATTTTATGGACGAGGTAGACAGGTTGTCCTTTTCATATTGCAGGGTGACCAGCCACTCTAACAGGGTAGGTTCCTGCTCAGGAGGTGTGAGCCGCCTGGGAAAGAAAAAGTCTGAAATAATTAGTAAGAAATAGAGACAGAGCCAGAAATTAGTTATAAAAAGGGGAGCGCTTGACGGGTCTTCCAGTCCTGATAGGAGGTGGAAACAACTTAAAAAGGGCCCCGAGTCTTTATTGAAGGGGGAGTATGTCAAAGGCAGGGTTAAGGTTGCAGCTAGAGGAGTCCTGGGTGCTTGCTTCTTGGTGTGGCAGGGGTCTGGCAGGAAGCAGGTCTGTGGGCATTTTGGCAAGCCACATCCATCTCTGAGAGGCTGGGTCACCCCATCTCCAATGCTGTGCTGAGCTTGTGATGGAGCGAGGTAGGACGCTACATGAACCAGGCATTCTCAAACCAGCTGGGTTGCTGTTGGGAGTTCCTAAAACCAGCCTTTCCTGCCTGATGGCTTCAACATTGTTTTAGTTCATGACAGTTCACTGATGGCTTCCTGCAAAAATCGTATGGACCCTCACTACATAAATAAACAAAAAGCCAAGGATACCATACACAGTTGTTGAGGTTCTGCACTGCAGCTCAGTCTTGCCCTGTGATTCCAGAGCTGGGCCCCGTAAGCACATCTCCTTTGCCGGTTGGCATACGAGGCGTAGGGAGGTTACGGTAAGAGGCAGGGGTCTCAGTTTCTGGCTCCAGAATTTGTTTCTGTTTTGTTCTGTTTTTGCCCCTTGGGATGATTTGCCTGTGTGTGTGGAGACCCTGTGGTGGTGGCCACCCTATAGTGAATTTTTCAGACACCACATGCTGAGAATTGGATGTAGTCGGAGGGTGTTTCTCAATGGTTCATGCATTGGAAGCTCGGTCCCCAATGTGGTGCTCTTGAGTGTGGTGGAACTTTTAGGAGGTGCAAATGAGTTGATATAAGAGAACAAGATTGGGCTGTCCCAGATTTCTGGCTTCCTGTCTAGCCATATTCTCTCTCCCTCTCCCATACTGGTGTCATCGCCTTGAACTGCCCAAACAATGAGCTAAACAAACCTCTTTTCTTCATAGAGTATCTAACCTTAGGTATTTTGTTATAGTAACAGAAAACAGATGAATACACTATAACAAGTGACTTCCTATTGAGTTTTGGTGGCACCTAATGGGTAACCTCCTACTGAGTTTTGCTTAGCCTTTGAAAACAGCTTTCTCGACAGAGACATGCTGAGGACCCAGAGTGTCCACTTTTCTGAAGAATCTAACTGGAACCCTTCAGGTAGTTTCCTGCTTACCAGCCAAATGAATTTTAGGATTTTTTTCCTACTTATGTGAAAAGTTACAGTGGTATTTTGATAGGATTCAATTGCATTTAACCTGTAGATAACTTAGGGTAGTATAGGCAATTTAACAATATTAATTCTTCCAGTTAATGAACCTGAGATTTCTTTTCATTAATTTGTGTCTTCTTTAATTTGTTTCATCAGTGTCTTATAGTTTTCAGTAACCAGATCCTTTGCCTCATTGGTTAAATTTATACCTAAGTATTTTATTTATTTTTTGATACTATTGTAAATGGAATTAGTTTCTTAATTTCTTTTTTCAGATAGTTTATTGTTGGTGAATAGAAATGCTACTGACTTTGACATGTTGATTCTGTAACCTGCCACTTGGTTTAATTTGTTAGTCAGTTCTATTTTGTGTGTGTGTGTGTGTGTGTGTGTGTGTGAGAGAGAGAGAGAGAGAGAGAGAGAGAGAGAGAGGATTTCTAGTACTATGATGAATGATGTGAAGAGCAAATGAGTCCCAGTCATTACCTGATCCTGTGTGTTGGCAAAACCATGCCTGGGAAACATTCCCTGCCAAAGGCAAGATGTGGGAATAGCCTTGACACTCGGCTCTGATGCTAACAGTTATAAAGTAGTCCGGTAAAATGGGTTTTCTGGGCACAACAGGATAGCCGCAAGAAATTCCTAATTCTGTACTTTTTAGTGCACAAAGAAGCCTCTCAACAACTCACAAGCTTTGGACAATTTACAAGGCTTCTGTAATTTAACTTCCTGATAATGAGACTCTATATAATAAACATGCTGAGCTGGTTCTGGGTCACTGTTCCTCCATCAGAGGACAGTGTCCACCTAGCCTCAGCTTTGCTTAAAAATGTCTCTGTGTTTTTCTTAATCTCCTGTCACCCCTCCTCTTGGTCTTTCATTGTTGCTTTGCTGTGGTGGCAGAACACAAGGGGCAAGAGTAGACCTTCCTGTATTGTTCTTCATTTTAGAGAGAAAGCTTTCATTTATTTGCTGTAATGTGATGTGAAAAGTGTGCTGGTCGTATGTAGCCTTCACGCTGTTTGAGATCTATACTTATTTTTGAGATACTTTAGAATGAGTGGATGTTCAATTTTGTCAGATTCTTTTTCTGCATTTTTTGAGGTCATCATATGGTTTTGGGCCTTATTTTTGCTAATGTGGAATATTGCATTTATTGATTCAGGTATGTTGAACCATTCTCGCATCCCTTGGATAAATCCTGCTTTATGGTGAATGATGTTCTTACTGTGTTGTTGAATTCATTTTACTGAGGATTTTTTTTTTTTG